TTTAGAGAGTAGATTCACTCATTTTGTATCGTATGTAGACTATTGAAATCCTTAAAAAAAATATTTAGAAATGGAGGGAGTACAAGATAGTCTGACTACCTTCCAGGTGAGTTTTAATTTCCTACACGGGGAACGGGGATGATTTTTGTCGACGCCGCAAGTGAGAGTTAGTACCTCAACAGAATTTAAAAAAGGAGTTAGTGCCTCAAGTTAGTCGGCTTCTCTCTAATCATCAGGGTGCTCCATTCGAGTGTGTCGCGACAATTGAACAGTTGGCAACAGAGTGATAAGATGAGCTGGTCGTAAAAGATCGCAAAGCACCATGCCTTGACCGTACGTGCCCGTGCCTGGGCAGTGCAGGAATGGGGCTCACTCACCACTCACCAAGGCTTCAGATGATGCAAGTGTTGGGATGTAGGAGATCACACCCTTGCCCAAGGGACGGGTGTTGATCCAAGCTCATAAGTGACTCGAAGTAGTTGTAGAGAAAGTTTCGCGAAGCTTTTGAGGTAAATATTTTAATTTGTGAACACTATTTAATATTTTAGAACATTTACTAAAATCCAGGAAAAAACAAATTAGAGATTTTTAAAATTTGGAATATTTTTTGAAACCTGGATCATTTATCAATTTGTGAATAGTTTTCGAATTAAGATTGTGTTTAGAATTTGGATTTTTTTTCTAAAATTAGTGAAAGAAAATTCAATGTCGATTTTATTTTCAAATCATGGTATTTCTTTTTGAAAAGCTAAAAAGAAAACTGGGCGCCCATCCCCACACATCCGGGAGGGGGCGTTATATCTCTTTCAACCGCACTTGCGGGGGAATAGGAGCTCCCCTTTTAGAGATTCTTGTCCCCTTTTTTTATAGTTTTAGAACGCTCTAGAAAGTTCTGGTCCGATTTTTTCTTCTTCTTCTTCTCCTATTTTTGTCTTTGTTTTCTGCACGGGTTTTATTATCCTTTTCCATAAAAAATGTTCCTGAAAGCTTAAAAAAATCACATTTTAAAAAATTCTTCCCAAAATTTTAGAAAATCTTCAGAAATTTTGTAAAGAAATATAAAAATTCTAAAAATGGTTGGATTTTCAAAAGTTGTCTCGTTGTCAAACAAATATTCATGTTTTTTTAAATAAGGACTTTCAAAAATTGTCCAAGGTTTAAACAAATCCGCATTCAAAAGAATTGTTCACAAACTTAATTAAAAATGTCTGCGTTTGTTCAAGAGATGTTCTCAAATTTTCAAAAGATGTTCATTGCCAATTGGCCGACCTAGTCGGGGGTGCGCCTATGCGAAGCGCCGACTCTTTGTGCAACATGCATCGTATAGGAGATCCTCCCCGACCGGCTTGTATGCTTATTTATACACAACAATTTACAAAGTAATTTGAATACATGCATGACCGAGATGGAATTCACAAAACATAGAAGGGGCATATGCCACCAGCCAATTGGATGGCGAAACTGCCTCACGTACGATCAACTGGCATACGATTTGTACGACAAGAGACAGGCCCGTTTCCTGAGGTCTTGGCCCACCACATCAGATGAGTCTTGTCGTACACAGGTCCTACAGAATTTGATCGTACGTATAGCAGCTCTCATTGGATGGTGAGAGCATGGAGTGCATGCATCAGTCATCCAATACTACTGCTAATATATTAGTGGCTAATCTTGCTCTTCGCTCTAACCACCAAAATGATCCATGGGTCCCTAAACCAGGACCAACTGATGGAACTCACATGTGTAGTAAGATGGAGTCCATAAAGTCATTGACCTGGATTTATTAGAACATCGTGAATACCCTATTAAAGACACTTCCAAAATTCTAGTAAGACAATACTTATGTGCCGCAAAATTAAGAACGACGATGTTAATATAGTTATAGTTCCTTCCGTACGCTCAAGTTGATTAGGTGAAGTGTGTCCACGAGCTGACATTTGTAGGTAGGCTTAGTTGGCGCCAAAGAAGAAATAAATTAAACAAAAGATCAGCATCCCGCTTATGATGGTGGACATGCATTGACGGTTAACTGTTCTACCCAGCTCCTCATCATTCAGTTTGCAAAATGGCAATTGAGCTCATCAACAAGCAATCGAAACCGAAGTAATAAAATTAGATTTTTAGTCAAGAAAGCTCGTTAGATTGACATAGGTCCACTCCTCAATTATCCCCGGACCAGAACCAAGCCTGACAGCCATCCGGTTTTCAGTTCTCGAGAAATTCGCCATGTAGTGACTAAAAGGGGTTTTTGGTACTCCCTCCGTCGGCAAATACTTGTCATCAAAATGAATAAAAGGTGATGCATCTAGATGTATTTTAGTTCTAGATACATCTCTTTTTATTCATTTTGATGACAAGTATTTTCAGACGGAGGGAGTATATGAGTAATACAAAATACTCTACAACCTTCCAGGTGAGTTTTCATTTCCTGCACTAGGTAAAAATAGCGGGAACAATTTATGTCGGTGCTGCAAGTGAGAGTTAATGCCTCGATACAGTCGGCTTCAACAAGAATGGTCAGGGTGCTCCATTTGTGTGTGGTGCGGCATTTGGCAACAAAGTAGAAGTTGAGCTTGTTGTACATATAGTGGAGAAGCAGTGATGTCCGCCTCATGATAAGAGTCGTCAACATTTAACTTAATCGTGCATGCCCGTGCTCGGTGCCACCCTCAACAGCCTGGGCAATGAAACAAGGGGCTCGCCATGGCTTCAGATGATACAAGTCTCGAGTTGTATGAGATCAAGCCCTTGCCCCTTGATGCCATAAAGGGGGTTGGTGTTGATCCAAGCTCATAGGCGACTCGAAGTAGCTACAGAGAAAGTGTTGCGAAGCTTTGATCGGTGAGCGAGGTTTTTCATGGACGATCTCATTGTGAACGTGCTAGATGCGCCAATAAACAAAACCACCTGGTCCATGTCCAGTAAGTCAAATGTGATATTCAGGAGCAACCGGGTCCCAATTTCTGAAGCCGGGAGAGGCCAGGTGACCACCACACGTCCGCCATGGACAGACATAGAAATTGTACAAGGTGAAAAGTATCGTTCAGACGACCCCCATGAAAACTAATTTTGGAAAGCAATATGTGTATGAAGAGAAATACAATTTCTGTTACATTAAGGAAAAGGCTTTTAAAAAAAATACTAAATTCGAATTGAAGAGAGACTACTCAACATATGCATAAGATGCAGAGTATGCCACCGCCAGGTTGGGTGGTGAAATTTTGTTATTATACCCTGCAAAAAACAAAATAATCAGGCAAAAAATAAGCTGATTTTTGCATGTATTTTACTCTCTTTTTTTGTATCTCTGATATATTGCACTTCTATGTGTGCATGTACAAAAAATGTCAGAAGTTTTTTAGCTGTAAAAATCCATTTATTTGACTTTCAAAAAAAGGGCACAATGTGCCGGTGCTTCAAAATTACATTTTGTATACCAAGTCAATATATAAAGTTTGACCTAGTCTATATCTAGTAACCATAGTATGGCCTAGTGGACAGCCTGTGCGTGCAACACGATCTGTAAATTTGC